CTATGAGTCAGAACTAACTCGATGGCACATAACAGCAATAACAATATGTGTAACACACTATTAGCCAGTTCAGCATTTTCAATTCGTGATCTCAATTACTTTAATCTGGTGTGCAGTCCTTACCCTTACTAGATGCCAAATTTCATCTCCCCATAAGCAGAAACCCACTGCGACCCAAACAGTGCTTCCCCTTTCTTCTTCCCTCTGTCCCTGGTAACCACTAATAAACTTTTTTGTTGTGGTTGATAAGTGCCACTGAGTCAGTTCAGACTCATTGTACCCTGCATAGGGTTTCCCAGGAGCAGCTGGTGGATTTGAACTGCTGACCTTGTGGTTTCGAGTCCAGTGCTGATTCTACAGTAACAGACTTTAGTCATGATATATTTGCCTATTCTTTTTATTATTATTAAAGAATATTTTTTATCATATATATTTTGTTGTTGTTTAGGATGTACAGAGCAAATCATCCACTAACTCAATAGGTCCTACACACACAACTCAGTGACAGTGATTATATTCTTCCAAGTTGTATAGCCATTTGCATCCTCCCTGTCTGAGTTGTTCCTTCCCCATTAATATAAATTCCCTACACTTTCAGTTTTCTATTTCTTTCTCGAACGTATGTGTCAACTTGAACCTGTATAGACAATTCCTTAGAAGACTAGAATGCTCAAGACAGGCATTTTTCATATTTGCCCTTTTCTGATTGATTTGCTCAAGACGCTGTCCTTTTTTATTCTGTTTACACTTGGAAGACACTGTTCACTCATTAATGCATACAGAGTTCCTGCCCTCTTGTCTGCAAATTCTGCATTCTACCTAAAATAGTGATCTTTAAGCTTATTTTCGCTAAGGTTGTTGTTGTAGTTAAGCGCTGCTCAAGTCAGTTTTTGCTGACTACATCACAGAGCACTTTTTTTTGACAGCTAAATCCTCTGTAACCCAAATCGATGCTATCGATAAAGCGCAGCCCACTTGACTGGTTCAGCCTCCTTCCCAACTCCTGTATTACCCGCCCTACCCCATGAAAATGCCAACTTTGAAAACTGAGCCTAAGCAGTGGACTTTCTAGGAGATAGTGCAGTTCTTGTCTAGCACACACGGTTCTCATAAAACTTTGTTCCCTAAGTCAGAAGGTGTTTGTATTCATTTCCTACTACCCACCACACAACCAGTTGCTGTCAAGTTGGTTTTGACTCCGTGTGTGTCAGAGAAGAGCTGTGCACTATAGAATTTTGAATGGCTAATTTTTTGGGGATAGATCACTGGACTTTCTGTGGTACTTGTGGGTGGACTCAAAACTCCTATCTTTTGGTTAGAAGTTAAGCAGGTAATCAGTTTTCACCACCCAGCGACTTGTTTAGTTTCCTAGAACAGAGATTGGAGTGATGACGTCACCAGCCAAGGCCCACCTGTACTATCTGAAGCTAGAAGAGCAAAGAAAGCGTCCTCCCTTAGGTCTTCAGAAGGATTCAGAGGGGCCCTGCCAACACCTTGATTTTGGACTTCCAGAATTGTCAGTGAATATATTTTTGTTGTATTTAGGCTACCCATTTTATGGTAATTCTTTTCCTACAACTGCTATAGTAAATTATCACCAACTGAGTAGTTTAAAGGCAATATAAATGTATTCAGTGACAATTCTGGAGGCCAAAAGTCCAAAATCAAGGTGTTGGCAGGACCATGCTCCCTCTGAAGACCTAAGGGAGGACTCTTTCTTTTTTCTCCTAGCTTCAGGTAGCCCAGGTAGGTCTTGGCTGGTGGCAGCATCACTCCAATCTCTACCTTCATCTTCATTGCCTTCTTCTCTGTGTGTATTGGTGTCGCTTCTTAAAAAAGACACCGGTCTTACTGGGTTAGGGCCCGCACTATTCCAGTACAACTTCATCTTAACTTGATTATATCTGCAAAGACCTGTTTCCAGATAAGGTCACATTCACAGGTACTAGGTCTTAGGATTTGAACAAAACACTTTGAGGACCACAGTTTACCTCATAGCAATGTGCACAAAGAAAAAAGACCAATGAGAGAGTTTTTTGATGTAGGCTAAATAGTAGTAGAGGCTGATTTGCATCCTCTTGGAATCAGGAACATTGAAACGTCTTTGTTTAGTGTTCCCTTCCACTTGGGCCAGTTGTCTTGGCCAACCTCATCTTGTTCCACAACAGAAAGACATTTTACTTCTTCCAGGACTCACACAGGTGTTGAACAGACCCAGGGGAGTTATTGACTGAAGTAGCATCCCCAAATAAACAACACAGTTGCTTAAGCAATGAGATGTTGTTGTTGTTACGTGCCATCAAGTCGGTACCAACTCATAGCGACCCTATGCACAACAGAATGGAACACTTCCTGATCCTGGGCCTTGTTTTCTGGGTTTTCTTAACTGGACATTATCAAACATTGGCCAGACCTGGATAATTGTTTTGAAAAATATTGTTTGGACCCAAGTTGGGGAAGGTTGAAGGTTTCGATGACATAGGAATTAAAGAGGAATTAGAGAGTCTGCAAGAGTGTTTAGTGAGTGTGCCCTTGTTTTTTTTCTCTGTAGGTTTTGGCTGGTGATTAAGGAAGATGGACATATGGTCACTGCCCGTCAGGAGCCTCGCCTGGTGCTGGTCTCCATCACCTATGAGAACAACTGCCTGATTCTTGAGGCCCCAGGCGTGGACCAGCTGGTTTTGCCAAGCAAGCTGCCTTCTTCACACACACTGAAGGACTGCAGGTGCTCTGCTTGGAGGCAACCCAGGACAACATTCCGTTTAGCTACAGTGTGTAGAGTAGACCATGCCACTGGTAATGGGAATATTTAAGAGAAGTCTAGTCTGAGTTTGGGATTAAGTCAGTAATCAGACTTAAGTGGGTGATTAACAGGGTAATGGCAGGTCAACAGAAATCAACATTCCCACGTTTTTCATTTCTCTGCTACTTTTGTTCTGAAACCAGTTACACATACAACACTTCTTCTGACCCTAGCCACCTGGAGCTAGGTTATAAACTGAAGGATACAGACTTCCAAGTCTGCCCAAGACTCAGACACTTGGATCCCCACAATGCCCTTCTTTCTCACATGTGGCTACAAACTCGAGGCTTCCCCATGACTCCTTCAGGATGGAAGACAAACTTGTTCCCCCAGACCCTGGGCTCCCTCACTTCAGACTCGTTGGCTACAAATTTTGGGGTTCCCTTTACTAAGCTGTAAGCTCAGGCATTTGTAGTCTTCCTCATTTCTGACCTGTTGGCTCCCACTATTCCTTTGGGTTCAGTAATTTGCTGGAATGACTCACAGATCTCATGAAAAGAGCTATACTTACAATGACAATTGTTGTTGTAGTTAAGTGCTGTGGAGTCGGTTCTGACTCATAGAGACCCTGTATAAGGTTTCTGAGGTTGTAAGTCTTTGCGGAAGCAGAAAGCCTTGTCTTTCTACTGAAGGGCTTGAACAGCCAACCTTGTGGTTCACAGTCCAATGTTTATCATACAGAGCCACCACGCTTGTAGGAAAAAGGATACAAATGAAGAGACGCATAGGATGAGGTCTGGGAGCATTCTCAATGTAGAGCTTCCATGTCCTCCCACATGTATTGATGCCTTTCACCAGTGAGGAAGCCCAGGGAGCTGTCTGGTCCAGAGCCTTTACTGCAGCCTCACTATGTAAGCATGACTGATTGAACTATGCCACCCTCCTCCCCAGGTCAGCCATCACAAGGTAGGATAGCAAAAGCCACCTCAATGACTCAAGAAAAACAAATCCCAAGAGTTTAAAGTTAATCTCTCAGAAACCAAGGGCAAAGATCAAATTATTTGGGTAAAGTTAAATTCTTTACCTCACAGTGATAGAGTGTAGAGGGAGTAACAGGCCCAGTCTTTAGGACTTGTCTCCTTCATTCAAGTTGATGAATCCCGATTCAAAATTGCTAGTCTCTTAGCCAGGCAGTCAAGAGAGTAAGTGGAATCTGTACCAGTTGAATCATGAGGCTGGTGATAAGGATGCTGGAGTCTTAAAAGGTGGCTCTGAGGTCTGGATCAGAGGTGTTTGTGGCAGGAGTGCGTTTGAGGATTTCCACTGCTGGCTAGGAGATGGGCCTGACAGTGATTGGACTTTTCTATGAGACTTCCAAGTTCCATGTCTTGCTCTGTGCTGTCAGAAAGGCTTAGAGGCTCAGGTGTGTGTCATGGGTACTTTCTAATCAGCGGGACTTAAAAATGATTGTGGTGAATGTTGACTCCTGGTGTCACGCTGTAGGACCAATACTGGACTTCAAAGTAGAAGGTTGGCAGTTCAAACCCACCAACTGTTCCTTGGAAGCCCTATATAGGGTCACTATGAGTCGGAACTGACTCGATGGCACTTAACAACAATATATATATAGCCATCACTCATCTATCAGTTTGTTGTACTGTGGCTGTTGTTGTGTTGCTGTGATTCTGGAAGCTCTGCAACTGGTACACTAAATATAATCAGGGTCACACATGGTAGATGGTGTTCAGCTGAGCTTCCAAACGAAGGCAGACTAGGAAGAAGGAAGGGTAGACTACTTCTGAATGTTTACCCTCTAAACTCTTATGAATAGCAGTGAAACACTGCTGGATAGCACCAGAGTATCGGAGATTGAAACATGATGAAGAGCACCAGAATAGCATCAGATATAGTGCCAGAAGATGAGGCCCTCGGGTTGGAAGACACTCAAAATACAACTGGGGAAGAGCTGCTTCCTCAAAGAAGAGTTGACCGTGATGATGCGAATGGAGTAAAGCATCCTGGACCTTCATTTTCTGATGGGACACAACTCAAAATGACAAGAAACAGCTGTAAGCATCTATTAATAATTGGAACATGGAATGTATGAAGTATGAATCTAGGA